GTTGTCTTTTTTCTTTCTGTATCTATTCTACTAGTGAATTTTGTGCATTATTGTTTGCATGATAGTATGTATTATATTTACTTTTCTAGATATAGCCTTCTTATAAGGATTTCTTTTACAGACCTTCTAGTGTTGGTGAATTCCTTCAGTTTTCCTCATCTGAGAAAATCTTTTCACCTTCATTTCAGAAGGATATAGCTTTCCTGGGTATAGTATCCTTTCTGAGTTTTTATTTTTCAGTATTCTACATACATTATCCCATTTTTTCTTGGTTTACAAAGTTTCAGCTGAGAAATCTAGTGTTAGCATAATTGGGATACCCTTATATTTTAACGATTTATTTTGCTGTTTCTAGAATTTCTTTTACTTTTTGGGGGGAGTGGGTACTGGGATTGAACTCAGTACCTGCGCTCATGAAGCAGGTGGCAGAACCAGAGCTAAATCCCCAGCCCTACCTTTCACTTTTGAGTACCCTATTATGTGCCTTGAATAGACACAGTTTGTGTTTTCTGTAAGGATTATTTGAATTTCCCAGATCTGACTGCCTTTATCTGACTTACAAAGTTTTTAGCCATATTAAATTAAGCAAGCATTCTAAGCTTTTTTTTCTTCTCTTTCTTTAGAGCCCATAATGTGATTTTTTCCCATGTAACTGTGTCCCAGTAGTTTCATATCATTTCTTAGCTCTTCTTCATTTTTCCTTCCCACCTTCACTGCATGAATAAAAAAGACTGGCATTTAAGCTCAGAAATTCTTTTTTTATTTCCTGGTACATTTATAGTCTGTTGTCTCTTAACTGTATTTATTTCACTCAATGAATGTTCAATTACAAATATTATTTGATTTCTTCTGATAAATATCTTATCGTTGAATTTCTCCTTGAGACTATAAAGTATTTTCCTTATTGCATTGAAATATGTATTCTAATTCTTCTATTTCGCATTAAGCGTCCCTAAGAACATTGAGGTCAGCATTCAACTCATACACTTGAATATAAAAAGAAAGAAAAATTGATAATGTCCACTATCCTATGGCATTGCTTCGTCTGGCACTACAGTGGAGCTGCTAAATGAGACATTCTGCATGGTAATTCCAGAAGATCATTTTTTTTTTTTTTTTTGGTACCAGGGATCAAACTCAGGACCTTGCACTTGCAAGGCAGACACTGAGTCACACAGCTAAAGCCCAGCCCCCAAAATAGTTTTTCGTTTGTTTTCAGTACCGAGGATCAAATGTAGGACCTTGTGCTTGGGAGGCAGGCATGGAGCCACTGAACGAAATTCCTGACCCATTCCAGTCAATTTTTCAATAAGCCCCTGGGTGGTTCTGATCCATGATAATATTGGAGAACCATTAGATAAATTCATGGGTCATAGAAATAAATGAAAGGACTAAAACAACAGACAATCATATGGGATGTTTACTCTAATGCTGCATTAAAAAGCATAAAATAAGCCAGGCATAGTGGCGCACACCTGTAATCCCAGCACTCGGGAGGCTAAGGCAGGAGGATCGCTGTGAGTTTGAGACCAGCCTGGGTTACATAGTGAGTTCCAGGTTCATCTCAACTACATAGTGAAACCCTGTCTCAAAGACAAAAAAACAAAACAAAAAAGCATAAAATAAATTGAAAAATATTATGATGCACTAGGTAAAACTACACCTAGATAAATTAAAATTGGAAAAAATTTAAAAGTTGAAAACGTCAAATTTTCTATATGATAGGAGAAATTAGTGAGTCAAAATATGATATTCTGGTTTCAGATTATTTTTCAAATTTAATAATTCAAGAAATGTGCGTATTCTACCACATAATTTGGGAATAGTGAAATTATAGAGTGATTTAGTTGATGGCATAAACTGAGAAAAACCAGATAATCAAAATACAAATGTTGCAAAATGAGCCACCAATTACTGTCTGCTGATGGCCCTACATAGCTTGTGCCCCTAAATGTATGCCAAGTTCCCTAAGGAAAACAACTCCGAAATCCTCTCAGTATCATGTGAGGTCTACAGCAATGGAAAAGGCAGCTATATCACATGGGACCATTTTTTGCTCTTATTCGGGTGTCCGCTACTCTAAAAATACCTGAGACATTCAGGATATAAACTTAAAAAGTTTATTTGGACAGTCACTCTCAACTTTTGGTTCTTTTTCCCCCTGCATTGCTTGTGAGTATGCGCTGAGGCAGGATGTCGTGGGAGGAGCACAGGAGAGAGGAAAGTGTTTTTCTTATGTGTTGGAAGAAAAAAGGGAGTAAGACCCTGGGGCCCGCAGTGCCATTCAGAGGCGTGGGTGTCCCTAACGACATGAATCACCTCTCTAGGGCTCCCCTTTCAGTTATCACCTCTTCTCGAGAGCAACAGGCTGGAGACCAAACGTATGAAGGGTTTGGGGACAACCAAGAAACAACTAGAAGGGCTGGGGATTTAGCTCCGTGGCATCACGCCTGCTTCGAAAGCGGAAGGCCCTGAGTTTGAGCCCTCCTCCCCACAAAGATTCAAACTAGAGCTTCTACGATCATGCATTAATGAATCCACCAGATTAGAGTTTGTTCATCATCTACAGAAATCTCATTCCACAGCTCATCACACGGACAGGCATATCTGGAATCCTTTTCGATCTACACACTCAAAATATCCTCACTAAAACCCGAAATGGAGTGAAAAATCAGGACACTGTACAAAGCCAGAATCACATTAATGAGTAAGTATTAGGTCACATAATTCATCGTGTCAATGATTAGTACATGGGAGCAAAGATTCCTGCAGGTACTCAAAAAGAAGAAACAAAGGACTGAAAACTGTGTCTGCACCGAAAGCAAATAGCTGAGCATCCCTATCTTCCACAGTAAAAAGTAAGTGGAAATCACAGCAGATGCATTTTCCCCCTCAAAAAGGAGATTAAAAAAACAAAACACACGCAGAATGACTTAGGAAACATTATCAAGGATCAAAGCAAAGTCAGAATACAAAATACACTAAATGTGTTCAAAAGAAAAAGAAGAAATTCTGGCTTTTGAAGAAATTGATCAAATGGATGTTATTCACACAAGTCCTATACAAAAGAACAACTTAGTAATGAAAAACTCCAGGAACATTAGGTAAAAGAATACACAATGAACAACTGCAGAAGTAATCTTAAAACTATCCCCTTCATTGTAATGTGTGTATGTTTAAAAAATATATACTTAGCAAATCTGACCCAAATGCAAAAGAAAAAGAAAAAAGACACGATAAGCTATCACAGCAGACTTTTTATACTTTTTTAGCCAAGGTCTACTAAGTTGCCCAGGCTGGTTTCGATCTTGAGACCCAAATCTCTAAGAATGAAGGATTATAGACAGGAACCACTGGGCCAGCAAGCTTAACTGATGCCAGGAGGGTGGCTACAAAAATGTGCTCAGGATGAATTATCACCCACTTTTACCATCTCATCTCTGGCCGGAATAGCCTATGACAGTAAGAATCAGAAAAGAGGTGCGGTACTCAGGAGGCCGAGGTAGGAGGGTTGATGTGAATTCACGGCCAGCCTGGTCTATGTAGTGAGTCTGAGGCCAGCCTGAACTACACAGCCATGTTCTTTCAAAAAAACCAACAAACAAACAAACAACAACAACAACAACAAAAAAGCTACAGTGAAATTAGCAAACTGATCAAGGGTGTAAAAACTGGTACTGTACCCTGCATTTTAGTATTCTTGAGGAATTACATTGAGACAGGTCATATTCCATTACAAGATACATTTTGACTATATTGGTCACTTGATGGCTAATTTAAGTGTCTAAGTGTAATTAGTTTAGGATAAGGCATACTGGATCTGTACAGTGAGACTTTAATGCATTTGGTACTTATGTTATAGAACATAAACCGGGGAAAAATTGAACAGCTCTGCACTCACAGGGAACAGTCTGGAACGCTGTACCAAACTTTCAGTGTTAGGGAGTAAGAAAGGAAAAAGGAGTCAAGGATTCCGGAGCGGGCCTCACACTAACAGCTTTTAGAAGTCTTATGTGGTCTGAGGCATGCGCCACCCGCCTCAACCATGACAGCGGTCCTCAGGGGTAATAAAAAAAAGGGGTGCATTGAGTAAGCTTATCTCAAACACACTCTAAATCACAAAAATTAGTAACATTTCCATATTTACTAAATTATCTTATATTTCCGGTTATTTACATTCTGTTATTTAAATGTTCCAGTTTAAAAATAAAAGAATCATTGCTGAAGACCAAATAGTATCTGCAGCACCAGGAAATAGAGTAAAGAATTCTGATTTGTTAGAAAGAATATACAGCATTTTCAGCCTCAACCCTGTCAGAATTCATTTGAGCATATTGACCGACAAACCCACAGGAATTCATTCGTTTACTTTAATGCAGGCAGAAAATTGTAACTTTTCATATGGCTCAAATACGTTCAGATTTTCTCCGCTATGAACTCCTCCCTGTATGTAATGCACTGAAGATTGTCCTTATTCTCAACAAAGGGCTTCTCTCCAGTGGGAGTTCTTTCCTTTCAGTGTGTTATAGTCACAAATAATTTACCTCTGTCAATTTGGAGTGTCTACCACAGTAACTGGAATGACTAGCGGCTTTTCTGTACATACATTAGGTAGCTTCGTCGGTGTGATGTTTTTCATGTATTTAACAATACCTGTGTACACTGAATGCTTTTCCTCATTGCTTCCATACAAAGGGTTTCTCTCCAGACTGAATCCTTTTTTTGGTCCCAGGGATTGAACTCTGGACCTCGCTTGCAAGGCAGGCGCAGGGCCACTGAGCTAAATCCCTGGCCCGGAGAGTGAATTCTTTTGTCTTTAACCATCACCGTGACTGAGAAAAGCATTCTCTCACTGCTTATATACAAAGGACTTCAACGAAGTGTGTATTCGTTTTTGTTTATAAAATGAAACACAATAGGGAAATGTTTTCCCACACTGCTTACATACATAGGGTTTCTCTCTAGTGTGACTCGTTTGGGGGGGCGGGTACCGGGAATTGAACTCGGGTCCTTTCACTTGCAAGGCAGGCCACCGAACCGCTGAGCTGAATCCCCGGCCCCTCATGTGACTCATTTTGTTTCCACCAAATGAACCCCTAGTAGGAAAGGCTTTCCCACGCTGCTTACATACATAAGGCTCCTCTCCAGTGTGATTTCTTTCATGGATTTGACAATGACTGTGAGAGATAAAAGCTTTCCTGCATTGCTTACACGGCATTTCTTAGCAGCGTGAGCTTTTCATGGGTTTGACATTAATGCTAAGAGGTAAATGCTTTTCTCCTTTGCTTACATACATAAGGTTTCTACCCAGTGCGAGATTTTTCATGGATTTGACAACTGTGAGCAGTAAATGCTTTTCAACACCGCTTACCTACATGAGTTTTCTTATCAGTGTGACCATTCTCATGGATTTTACAGTAATGCAGAGTGGTGAATGCTTTCCCACACTGTTTACATACATAGGGCTTCTCCCCAGTGTGTGTTCTTTCGTGTATTTTATAGGAGCTATTACAGATGAAAGTCTTCCCACAGTGCTTACACACATAGGGTTTCTCCACAGTGTGATACTTTTCGTGGGTCTGACAGTAACTACGAGTGGTGAAAGCTTTCCCACAGTGCTTACACACGTAGGGTTTCTCTGTACAGTTGGTCCTCTCATGTTTTTTCCAACTATCTTGCGTGACGAGAGCTGTCCCACAACGATTCAGGACACACGGCTTCTCTCCAGTGTGAGTACTTTCATGTCTTTTACAATGGCTCTTTCTGCCAAAGGCCTTCCCACACTGCTTACACAGGTAGGGTTTCTCCCCAGTGTGAATTCGCTCATGTCTTTTACAATGGGCATTCTTTTTGAAAGCTTTCCCACAGTGCTTACATGCGTAAGGCTTCTCCGCAGTGTGAATTTTCTCATGAATGCGACAGTAACTTTGAGTGGCAAACGCCTTTCCACACTGCTTACATACATAGGTCCTCTCCCCGGTGTGTGTGTGTGTGTTTTCATGTCGTTTACAAGTGCTGTTCGTGGGGAAGGCTTTCCCACAGTGCTCACATACATAGGGTTTCTCTCCAGTGTGAGTACTTTCATGTATCTGACAATGGCTCTTTCTCCTAAACGCTTTCCCACAGTGCTTGCATACGTACAACTTCTCTCCGTTGTGTGTTTGTCCGTGTCTTCTGAAAGAACTGTACATACCGAAAGCTTTCCCACACTGTTTACATTCATAGGTTTTAGCTTTTTCTTTGGATACAAAGGGCTTCTTTCTAGTGAGGGTCCCTTCACTGCAATCGGAGTAGGATTTCCCACAGTGCTTATGTTTGTGGGGTTTCTTTCCAGGGTTTGTTCCTGCACGCTCCTGAGAGCACAGGGAATTACTGCAGGTTTCCCCATGTTCGTTACACACAGACAGCTTCACATGTAATACCTGATACTCACATGATTTGAATGCACTGTGAGCTCTGGTGGGCACATTTGTTGATTCTTGACCAATCAGGGAAGTTCTACAAGCAAGGCTCTCAGCTGGCTGTGAACCAAGTGTTTTCACATTAACATTAGGGTCTGGAGTCCAAAAAGACGTGTCTCTGTGTGGATTCCATAATTTATATTGACAGCCTTTCTCTACATCTTCACGTCTACAAAAAATACAAATAAAAATAAAACAATCAATCACCTTGCAAAGTTCCTCCTTGTTAAGGATCTTCCAGGATTAGATCTGGTATGATGCCCCTTAAGAATATGTGACCATAGCCAGGGATTTAGCTCAGGGGCACAGCGCCTGCCTGGCAAGTGCAAGGTCCTGAGAGTTCGATCCCTGGTAACAAAAAAAAGAATATGTGACCGTGAATTTAATATACACTGTATAGGAAGGCTTAAAAACAGTTCTCACTGTAACAATAGCATTCATTTGTGAGCTTCTTATAAGTGAGGTGCTTACATAGCGTTTATTTTCAGCTTTGAGAATTAGTGTACATGAATACTATCTATTTATTTTCAATGTTTCTCATGGTACTGGAGATCGAACTCAGGACCTTGCACTTGCCAGGCAGGCTCTGTGCCGCTGAGCTACATCCCTGGTCCTACACATGTATTTTGGATGCTCTTTCATCATGACAGTACTGCGGCTTTCTTCCACTGAAGCTCTTTACCCTCTATAAAAAAAAGTCTGCTTCTCTCTCTCACACCATTTTGCCTTCATTTTACTGTTTAGTTTAATTTATAGATTCTCATAGAAACTATATCATGTGATAGTAAAGCTTCTATGTCTTACTTATTTTACTTAATATTATGGGTTTGAAATAGATCTATCTTTCTGAAAAGGACGTTATTCCATTCATGTTAACTGAATACAATTCCATTATGTAAACTTACCTCATTTTTTCAGTAGTGGTGATTTCACCCAGTGTTTTAGCACTGAGCAATATCCCCAGCCTTATTTTTTTCTATTTCGAGAACTCCCATTAATTATTAACTTGCCCAGGTTGAGCATGAGAGCGTGATCTTTCTGCTTCAGCCTCCCACAGTGCTAAGATTCTAAGTATGCACCACCATCGCTGGAACCCTCAAGGTTTGAGCTCACTCCTCTGTGGATGGGCATCTGGCTTGTTTCCCAATCTTAGCTCTTGTGAGGTGTGCTGCTACAAACAAGGATACGCATGTATCACCTTTAATATGACTATTCAACTATTAAAAATTCACCTGGATTGAATAAAAGTTGTTTTTAATATTTTGGGGAATGTCACTATAATTTCATATAAAATTTGCATAATCTTTCATAAATTTCTGTTCATTCCCTGACTCCAGAGGACCATTACTTTTTTTGTGTGAGAGCAAATTACCTTAGATTTTTTCTCCAATGTTCGCTATCATTTTCAATATGCTGGTCAGTCCAATTTTGTTCTGAAATGAAGTCACAGAAATATAATGAGTCATTATACTATTACATAAACATTAATAGATTTCAGTTACATTTATGGTATTACATGAACATGTTAGGAATATTCATCAAAATGCATTTATATTGTAATGAATGAAACTTCAACAAGCAAGACAGAGTGCTTTCTGCATATACAAATTAGAAAATGATTATCTTCCTTACGTATAGCAGACATGTTCCTCAGTGTTTCTAACATCACGTCTCTGAAGAGCTTCTTTTGGGATGGATCCAGCAGAGCCCATTCCTCCACGGTGAAGTTCACAGCCACATCCTCAAAGGTCACTGCCTCCTAAATCATCACACATATTTCCAGGAATAAGACAGAGACTCAAGCAGAGAACATTTCAGCGCCACTCATAAACAGTTGCAATGGTTTTGAGTCCAAAGTTTACATTAATTAAGAATGTCTCATGATAATGGATTTAAATTAAGGAATGTGTATCTTATGTCTCAATGATACCAAATAGTCAAATATTGCAGAGCTATAAAAAATTCTATGTAGTGTAAGGGAGGGGTGGGGGGGATCATTCACACACACACACACACACAGTATAGGATATATATGATCTGTACCATAAATATCAAATGTACTGAACACCAAATTTTGCAAAGCTAACTAGTAATGGAAAAACTGAAGAAAAAATTTTTGCAAAGTTAACTAATGATGGAAAAATTGAAGAAAAACTTTTGTTACTTCCAAAGCACAGTTTTTATTTATCACTTAAATTAGAGGTGTTCAGTATAATAAATGTTAATGAATCTTCAATATCTACTACGCAGGATGTTGATGGTTTGCTTAATATATAAGAAAAATTAAAGTTGGCTATTCTGGGCGCTGTACTACTAGCAGAGTGAACGACACACAGATCACAGAAAGTGACGACAGCCTTCAGTGGCTCATCGGTAAACAGAATACTGATTCATGATGGAGCTGTTATTGTACAAAGTGGCAGAAATCACAACCTGTTCAATATAGGACACAGGGAGAAATAGGAACATACATCAACATATGCATTTTATTCTCCATATTCCATGAAAAATAATGCATTTAATTTACACCTTCAAATGGAAATATGAACTTGAATATTCTGAGAAATCACATGCAAACATATTTTGGACGTGAAACGGTGTTTCCTCAGCAGAAAATCCAGAAGTTATCAGAAACAGGGAAAATTGAAATCTGTCAGCCATGGGATGTAAAAAAAGACCAGAAATTTAAAACTCTGAAGTGTATACAATAACAAAGATCTGGGTACAGAGTAAAAAAAAAAAAAATCAATGAACACATTTAAAAAATCAACAAAACATAACTCAAGAGAATACCCCAATGTAAAACAGGATCCGTGATGTTGGCTAAGAAAATAATGAAAAGAAATGGAGTCATGGAAAACCCAACTGGTGAGTAGATGTCTGCAAGAACAAATCAAATGCTACACTGCACTGCCATTTCCTCCACTTTGGAGTACACGGAAACCTGCAGACCAGTGACTTTAATGCAATGTTCAGAAAATACATTGTCCTTTTGTTCCTGGGACAGACATGATTCTTTTCCTATCGATGAAAAGTAAACGAGATGACTTCAACCATGTGACCACTGGAATGGATAAGCAGCACTTTCCCGTCTCGGACACCAGCACGTGTGAAGCCTAGTGACAAAGAAACCACCCACAACGCTTTTCTGTGCAATTTCCATAGAATTTACTGAACATTCCAAGAGGGCTGAATCAAAGCATACTGCCTAGGGCCAGTGCCTGATGGTGGACTTAAAATAACAGCAATAGATAAAGGACAGCGGTCACCCATGGAAAAGACAAGAGTGAGTCAAATAGGTTCTAACCTGATACTCGTAATCACTCCTTGAGGCCCAGGTATAAGACTTTCTGAGGGTTACCAGGATATTCATATTCTTGTTATTTTAAAGCCCCACCACAAACTTTATTGATGACAAAACTTACGGTAAACTATTTAAACACTAAGTTACAATACAATATTTCTGTACATACATACATACATACATACATACATGTTTACCTGAATTCTAACATGGAAAAATGAGAGAGTATTTACAGACTGGGCCACAGGAAGCCAAGCATACAGTCACCAACTTGAGACCTCCAGACACACAGCAATCAGTGGCCAGGAAACACATGGTTATCAAGAAGAGCGCAGTTTAGCTGAGCATGGTGATGCATGTCAGTAATCCCAGGAGGAAGTGGCAAGAGGATCTCTGTAAATTCATGGTCAACTTGGGCTTCATAGCGAGCCTAGCCTGAATTACTTAGTGAGATCCTGTCTTGAAAAGGGGGAGGGGTGCAGCTTAGAAAGACTGAGAGAGAAAAGAGTTACCTGAGCTAACTAACGCCTAGGCATCCTCCTTATGATACAAAGTCCTATACTAACCCGAGAGGAGTGGCTTTTATGTTCACGCTGGTGAAGATATGGTATAAAAAACCAAGAGGCCATGCAAAGCAATATTGTTCACATAATAGAGAACGCAGGAAGGGGGAGGGGTGCAGCTTAGAAAGACTGAGAGAGAAAAGAGTTACCTGAGCTAACTAACGCCTAGGCATCCTCCTTATGATACAAAGTCCTATACTAACCCGAGAGGAGTGGCTTTTATGTTCACGCTGGTGAAGATATGGTATAAAAAACCAAGAGGCCATGCAAAGCAATATTGTTCACATAATAGAGAACGCAGGCAGATTACGGCAGGGCTCTCAATGATGCACCAACTATCCTGGAAGAGGGAAGAGAGGAGCCTGGCCTGAGAAACTATAGAGGTTGCAGGGAGCTCACAGCGAGTATTTATTTTCTCCCATCCAAAGACACTGGGTCGTCAAAGTGTCTGTCAGATGCAAGGCTGTGAACCCCTAGGCTCTTGATCAAATTCTTTCAATTGGAGCACAAATGGCAGGAGTGTTGAGGGCTAATTTTGTTGCTAAAGTGTCAGGTGTGGTGATGCATATTTTTAACCTAGCACCCTGAGGCTGAGGCAGGAGGACGGAGAAGAATCATCACAAATTCAAGGCCAGCCTGGTACAGAATGAGGTCAAAGCCACCCTAAATTACAGACCATGTCTGCAAAAGCCAACTTATACTCTATGATAAATATGATCATTATGTATATCTAATGTATAGCAATAAAATTCATTTTAAAACTCAATATATATAAATATATGTATATTATATGCATATATATAATTATATATTTTTTTCCACTGAAAATAAACTCACAGACTTCCACTTTCCAGTTCTTGTGGAAGGACATAGAAAGAAATGATCTTTTGGGCCAAGGATTTAGCTCAGTGGTTCCACTGCCTGCCTCACAAGCGCAAGGGCTCGATTTTGATCCCTGGTACCAAAAAACAAAACAAAACAAAAAAGAAAGAAATGATCTTTCTCCAATAACAAAAACACACAAATCCACCACCCCTGAAGTCTAGTGCAACTCACTGTCTCCAAACTGGAAAACAAGGAGGAAGACTAACAAAAGCATAAATTAAATTACTCTAAAGAAACTCAGGAGCAGAAGAAGGATAAGAAAAGGACAGAAAATACTGTCCTCACAGACAAGGATAACAGAAGCTTGACTTGTAATAGTTTTGGGGGCAGCTGGAAAGAATCTAAAATTTTGTGAGTTTTTCCTCCAAAGGTACTGTCAGAATCGCACAGTGATAATCAGAGCAAAATTACTTCACGTTGCTTAGTGGCACAGTGAGGGAAAAAGTCATTTTGAAAATTCTGGGGCTTAAACTAATTCTGACTGGAAGAAAAGTACTGACACAAAGCCTAAACCACTGGGCCATTTCTGCACGAAAAGGCTTAGCAGCGAGGGAAAGATCCAATGCTAGCCAACCTATCTCCTTCAACACTGAAAAGAGAGGATATGATTCTGACTTTCCCCTCATTACACTAATCACATGTTCACTCGGGAGCAACAAATTACAACAAAACCCAAAGAATCCAGGGAAAGGGGAAGTTACGGCTCAGAATTTTTTAAAAAAATGAGTCGAGGAAACAGTATCTGTAAAGGGTCAATGAATTATCTACATAATTGTACGTGAGAAAAAAGAGGTAGAGGCAAAGAGAACAAGAGACATCAGGGAGAGGCTATGTGCACCCATGTTTACAGCGGCACAGGTTGTAATAGCTAAATCTTGGTATACAGCCCAACTGCCCGTCGGTTGGAGACTGGATAAAGAAGATGCGGTTTTTCTATAAAAAGGAATACTACTTGGCCATAAAGAATGAGAAACTAGAGTCATTCACAGGAAAATGGGTACTATTTTCACTTAAGAGGCCACACTCTTAAGTGAAATAAATAAGGCACACGTGTAAATACCAAATAGTTTCTCCAGTGTGAAAGACTAAAAGTGTAAATGAGATCCAAATTGTATAACTGATCATGTGAAATAGGAAGAAAAGGGCTAAAGGTGTAGGGGAAGTGGAAAGGGTAGGGGAAAGGAAATAAGGGAAAAGAAAAAATATGAGAAAAGGAAAAAATGGAAACAAAGTCTTTGTAAATAGGGGAGGGTAGAGGGGTAAAGGAGGACAGGGAAATGGGGAAAAATTGGGAACCAAGACCTGTCACGTAAAGGTACAAGATCCCAATGATGAATGTTACTGTACCGTATACTTAAAAAGTACCGATAAACTCAAGAAAAAAAAAGGAAAAGGTTATTCGCACCACATAATTACAGTAAACATATGACATCAGGAAGCGATACAGAATTTAGCCGAGGGTACACAATACCTGTAATGAACTTATTACTATAGATTCTATGTGTATTAACCAAGACATTATGTTCAAAGTCCTAACATCAACAATCTACTCGGTTGGTAAAGTTATTTCATGAAAAATGAGTGATGGAAATTGTACATAGGCTAGAAAGTATTTGTGAATATGCTAACATATGGAATGTTTCTGAAACAACAGTTTTATTTCAAAGTGGGTTTGGAGAAGTCGTGAACAGATATTTCTAAAATGGAAAATTTAGAAAAATAATTAGAACCAAGGCCTACAGGATATCTCATCAACAGATAACTGAATCAAACTGCTCAATTAAAATGGCAGGTAGATAAACTAAAAAGATCAAATAAAGTAAATAGAATTCAACCGATTAGAAATTACTAAGAAATAAACATACCTTCTTTTTTAAATTAATTTTATTGGTACATTTTAGACATACAATATAATGACATTCCCCTGCCCTCCTAAACATTATTATCTTTAGGTATATTTGCATAAACAATTACAAGAGAGTTTAAGACTAGATAAGAAAACAAGAT